CAAAATGCCTTTTGGTTCGGAAACAAAAATGTCTTGAAGTGAGACTCTTGTTAGTTCAAAAGATTCTCTTTCTCTTCTACTCCTCCCCATTCTCTTATCCTCTCTTCTGCCATTTCAGCCTACAAACATATCACTCAACGGATTAGAACAAATATTCATTGGGTAGTCTACTAATTCTACTAAGTGTTTTGGTTCTTCACCTCTTTGTCCCAATTGGTTTTGCAGATCATCCAAGTCAAAACTAAAGATTGGACAAATGTTCCCGTCATCATCCCCCACCAGATTCCCTGACCATTATATGTTTCCATAAAATAAAAGAATATTTCTTCCCATTTATAATTATTGTTTTTTTAAAAAAAAAAAGGATGTGAAATTGCATTACCACTACTCCATATTCAAGCTTAAATCCCAACAATAGACCAAATGGGACTCCAAACAAGTAGTAGCAAGCTATGTTCACATACGCAACAACAGCTTGCCATCCAGCTCCCACAGCCACTCCTGCATAACCAAGTTTAATTTACCATAATGTCACGTCCTATATATAAAATTAAAATCCATACAAAATCATAAACCATTTCACTTGTATCCATTTTGTATTGAGTTAAGTTTATGTACGCTTGCATAGTATTAGAATCCAAAAAACAAGTATTAATAATCTATAAAATATGATGATAATTTTTATGAGAATTACCAGATAAGACAGGTTGAACATTGTTGATGACAATGCAGAAGGCAAGCATTGGTGTGAGTTCTCTAGCCACATTCCTAACAACCTCATCTTCCACAAACAAAACCGGGTACTGGTCTTGGAAGATGAGTAGGACCGCGGCTATAGCCATTCCCATAACTGTCGATAATATCACGGCCACAATTAGAGAGAACTTGGCCGCTCTTGGATGGCTAGCTCCTAACTCATTTGACACTCTCACACTGCCAAAACAAAACAAGAACGTATTTTCTTAGCTTGGCACTTATGAGATGTGTTGAAGTTGCAAAGAGTTAGTTTTCACACACGTGGGTAATTTACCTTACTGCTGCGTTTATCCCAACTGAAACCATCGCAGCCCATCCCAAAATGTTCATGCTTCATTTTATATACGGACGGTAAACATATAGTTAGATAAGACATTAAGATATAGTAATGAAAATGGTAAAATACTTAAATTTCCAAGTTTCTTATCATAATTGTAGTTCTTAGTAATATTATAAGTTAATTATGATTAGATTTTTGTTTAACTCAATGCAGTCCAGCAAATTTAGATTAGGAATGCGACATATTCAAGGGTTCAAATCGAGTATTAAACTATACTGGCCACAAAAGTCAAAACAAATAGACTACTAAGCACGTTGGCTCTGCTCATATTTAGAGAATCTTTGGAATCGTTTAAATAAATGGATAGACAAATGAATCAGGTAATAATGTCATGAAGAAATTATTTACTGTAAGAGAAGTGTTTATTAATTTTTTACCATATGGAGAGTGCAGCTACGGAGACTTCAGCATTCTTCAAATATCCAGCAAACAATACGAGTGCCATGAAATACCAAACCTCCAAACTAAAAGGAAAAAAAAAAAATCTTTAAAATGTTAAATAATAAGTTGAACCAAGTTGGACCAAACTAACCGGTTTAAAACTCACCAAAGCATAACAGCAGAAGCCAAAGACAATTTGACAAAACCCCACAAATTGTGAAAAGCCTCCCACGTGAATCCAGACCAAGCTTCTCCACAAGTACCACTAAAAATATACACAACTTGTGCCACAACGATGAACCACCACGACGTGTTAAGCACAAAAGCTAAACCGGGAAGTCCCCAATGGAACTTAGACATGACTAGCCACGTGAGAAACGTGTGGATCACAAGAGCCACGCCAGAGATTGCTGCCATGACCATGATCTTGCTTTGCGACTGCAAAAACTTTGCGGTTGGGAAATTTATGGCGTAGGCAAAGATTTGTGGGATCATGTAGATGGAGAAAACTCCAGCCATGGCTGAGATGGCAGCGGTTTGGCCAATGAAGGTTAGGATTGGAGCGGCAAATATGTAGAGTAGAGAAAGGATGAGAGCGGTTACGGTTAGAATCACCCATGAACGTTGTAAGTAAACGCCGAGCATTGATACTTTGCCCGCTCCAAACGCTTGTCCGCATAGCGTTTCCAACGCGCTTCCCATTCCAAGCTAGTCACATTCGTAATTGCACCATACATAGATTAATATGACGTAAGTCAATTTTTGTGACTTACTACTACTGATAAAACCTTAACCAATACGAAAATAACACATTAACTTGTTTAAAGTGTAGGCACACATTTGTCATCGTAAAATTTTATAAAACTAATCTAGATTATAAAACAAATTTGAATTTTGTTTTTTTTTTGGAACACTAGTATGAATTTTGGTTAACTTGCAAAATATAGTCTATGCTTAACGGCTTCATTTTTACAATTTCAATTAAAATACAGCTTAACTGTACTACGACTATTACAATTTTTGAATGAAACTTTACCTAATAGTAAATATATTTTTTGCTCTTAAATATTAAAAATCTACTACTCATCAACTTGTACTAAAAGTCTACTGATATTGACAATACAAAATAACACATCAACTTGTTTTTAAGTACACCTACTACTCAAACTGATTGTATTATGTAGATTCACACACTTGGCGTACTAAAAAAATTGAAATTGGTTAATTTGCAAAATATATACATAATGAATCAAATTATATATCTATGCTAATCAAAAACAGATCAAACGTACTTAATATATAATAACTAGTTTTTTTAGAAATAAGCAAAAGAATTACATGCATACCATGATACCGAAGGAGAAACCGGCGATGACAGAGTTCTCAATGGAGACGGCAGCTAGGGCGACGGTGCTAACATGTCCGGCGAAAACCTGAGTGATGGCTCCAAGAGAGAACTGAGCCATCGACGTGAAAATGGCCGGACCCGCTAGCTTCCATAGCTTCTTAGACTCAATTCTAAACTCTCTCGTGAAGTCTCTGACGCTGGAGATGGGCGGGATATCAACGGGGATAGAGGAGAAGGAGACAAGAGAAGATGCTCTGCTTCCGACTCCTAGATAATTCATCAATGCTTTCTGAGTTGCCCGGTCAAGTTCCTCCGTCGAGGTCAGAAACGGATCCATGAAGCTGTTATCGTCTTTCTCCATTCTCTCCGACCAAGAAAGATAGAGAGAAAGATAATCCTAAGAGGTAAGGGAGAAGATAGAGAATCTTGCGATCTTATATATCAATAATTATATAGACACTACTACAAGATTTTCTCTGTCTTATTGATTTTGATTTGTAAGAGATTTTGGACATTGGTAAAAGACAGCGTTACACCAGTTAGACCATTGACTTAGTGTTTGTACAGTAAATTATATTATGTGTATATGTCTGTTCAGTGTTGTATAGTGTCATATAGAATCAAAACAAAAGGTGACGTATCTGATATATCGTCGCATGACTAGGTAGGCTAAACAATTAATATATAACACAGCACGGGGAGAAATATTCGAAAAGTTTATAGAAATATTCGAAAAGTTTATTTTATTTTTGTTATCTGAACTGATTGCCATTTAGATGTTTGTTTCGTGGACTCCATGCGCTGATCTTGCTACGTGCAAAGCAATCAAGCAAGTGGGAAACATAATAAAACATTTCAATTAGGCTTGG